ATGCTGAGATGGGAAAACCTACAATTATATCATTGTCGGGAAGAATTTCTGTGATTAAAATGAATGAATTAAAATGCACATTCTTTACTTAGAATGTTATTTTCCACCCAGACAACAGAGGTCAGAAGTAGCAAATTTGAAATTGTATTTCACAGCTTGTTCTTTACTTGGGATAAAAGAGTGACCTTAAGAAACAGGAGGTTATTGGAATTGGAGGGACATGTTTTAAAATTAAGATATCATGGGTATCTGTGTATGACAAAGAGGTAAGAAGACACAGGGGAGCCCATGAACATCTAGAATTACATGCTAAATAAAGGTTGTGCATGCACAGCATATTTTGTGGAAGGAAAAATTATATACATGCAAAGAAATATGGACATCCTTGGTCTATAGGATTATGGAAAGCCCTACCAGCACGGAACAGATATCACTCTAAGCAAAACCAGAACTTAATAACAGGGAAGTTTTGTTGGCTGTCAAAACCAAATTTAAATAAATGTTATTACTTTATTTTGCTTTTATACCACTTCAATGATTGCCAACTGTAAGTCGTTTATTTACACGATATTTGTTAACCCCTCGGAGATTAGAATGGCCCCAACCTTGTTGGCCTTTCATGAGGCTTTAAAAACTTGGCTGTGTTCCCGAGTCTGTGAGGGTGAATGTGTTAAGGGCCCCTTTCTTGGCTTTACTGGTTAACAGTCTTGGCTGCTATGTATATTTATTTTGGATGGTTTTTTTATTGTTTTCTATATTTTTGGTTGTTTTAATTATTTTTATAATTTTGCAATTGTAAGCCTCCCCAAGTCATTGATTGAGATGGGTGGCTGTAGAAATTGAACAAATAAATAAAACTGAAATTAAAAAGAATAAACCAGAACCAACAAATAACTATCCACAATGCGCCAGAGAACAATTAAAACTCTATCTCCCTAAACATTCCAGTACAAGAAGAAACAGCCGCATCAGATAACCATGGTCCAAAGCTTCCTGATATAGCCAAGCTCTGATGGCTTTCCTGAATCCCAGCAGGGTTGGGGTTAGTTGGACAAGGACAGTGTTTCCCAAACTTGACAATTTTAAGGCATGAGGACTTCAACTCCCTATGCCTTAAAATTGTCAAGTTTGGGAAACACTGGACAAGGAGGTTGAGATTCCAAAGAATGAAGGGGAGGGAAGCAGCTGAGAAGACCTACTTCCTTAGTTCTTGCTGGCAGCATTCTCTGCTCATTTTTTATTTCATTCGTCAAGCAAAAACAATTGGGAGAAGGTGATTCTGAAGATATCCAAATCCTGATCCAGGTAGGGTTTTAAAGATAACAACCAGTACCGTGTAGCCAGAGTCAACTATTAACCAATGAAGATCCTGAAACAGACATGCTGTTTAGCTAAAATAAATGCGCTCATAAGTATCCACGCTGCCACATGCTGGACTAGTAGTAGCTTCCAAGTAGTCTTCAAGGGTGACTTCACATAGTCTTTCAGTAGTCCAAACAAGAGATGACTGAGGCATGAGGACAGTGTAATCAACGTAGAGGAGTATAAGCATACTCTTGAAAAAGTATGCAAGGGCAGTTACCTGAACATCAGCTTAGCTCTCGGAGAGGAGGGGGTTAGAAGAAACTCAAGGTTTACCTGCCTTGATTCTCCTTAGTTCAGAAGAGGGGAAAGGAAAAACTCTGTTGACTGTGAAGATTATCATTATATCTTTAGCAATAGCGTTCAAACAGGATTATTCACTTTAGGAGAAATTAATCTTGGAGACTTTTTCCCATGCCCAATACATGAGCATGTGAGACATACATACATAAATGCATACAACTTGCATGCATTTATGTTTGTACACATACATATACACAGCACATTCATACAGTATATATACATACACTCTATAGAAGGGCAAAGTATGATTAAACAAATCTTAACATTGAATTAATAATTACCAATTCAAATTAATTGACTAAAATGAGGTACCCTATTCTCATATTCCAATCATTCTCTCATATGCACAAACCATAGTGACACAGAAATACACAGGTGTACATGCAGACATATACATACAGTCATCTCCCTAAGATTTACATGCTTATAGTATATCAGAAATTAGGATGCAAGTAATGACAGCTACCAGAATGTGAAAGGGTTTAAATCAGTGTTGTGGGATTGTGAAAGCCCTGTCCCCTTTCTATGAATTGTAATGTTGCTTGTTCACCCAGAAGAGTTGGCGCTTGTGATGTGACAGTGTGACACCACAATTCTGATAAAAGTAACAAGATCCTGTGGAAGACCCTGGTCACAATACAATACATAATGGTGATACAATATTTGCATGATTTTATCATTGCACAAATTTGTCTACTTGGCAAGAATTTGGCTTGCCTCAAATACTGCTACCCCGAATTCATAATAAATTATTTGAGAATAAATGGGAAATGAAGAATCTCAGACCTTTTTAGAGAATCCATTTTTCTAGCAGTAGAACATCATCTAGTAATTAATACTGAAAATCACATTTAAGTGACCTTCAGCACTCAGTGGTGTATCTCTGCTGATAGGAGCAGCCATTCAATCTTTACTGACAAAAGGAAACAAAGCAAATTTGATGTTTGACAAAGATTCAGATCTGATGGCATCCAATGTAGTAACCTTCTTGCAGCTAAGCAGGTCTTGGTTGCATCATTACCTGGGAAGGAGTTGCTTTAAAATATCATATAAGCTATCTTAAACTCAATAAAACAAGGGAGGGGAAAATAATGCTTTAAAATTGCTTCCATACTTTGGCATAGCTTTGCATAACTAAAGAGTACTTGTTTTGTGGGGTACCTTGTAGCAATAAACAGTGCAGAAGTGATATTCAGCACAACTTTTTACATGGGTTTTCCCTTCATCTTTTCTGTCATTTCTTCGTTATAATTATATAAAGATTCCAAATGCAACTCCAGGCTCAAGAAACCAATTGTGCTTTCTCTGCCAAAATTAGTGTATTGGATTTTAATGCAAATCCTACCCTGTGTGATCTTCTGCCTATAGGACAGAATGTAAATTTCAGAGGCCAAGCAAGGAGACCAAACAAAAGCCATCAAGAGTTTTCAGTGAGAAACAAACAAACAAACAAACAAAAAAAACCCTTAGGTATATTCCAAAGTCTGTTCCTGGGTTTGCCAAAACATAGCTTTCAAGTAAAAAGTGGCCCTCCCCTTCAGAAGGATGCACCAGGCCTTTCAGTATTAATAAAGGACTGTAGACTGCAGCATGGAATATATCAAAAGCAATCCAAGGATCAGTTCACATGAGTGCAGGCCACCAAGTCCCAGCTTGGTGCACTGCAAGAAGAGGCCCAGAATTTAAAGCAGTGGTTCTCAACCTGTGGGTCAGGACCCCATTTGGGGTCGAACGACCATTTCACGGGGGTCGCCAAACAACGCAGTCCGCCATTTCCCCCCCCTTTTCCTTAGCTGTGCTATTCCCTTTTATTCTATTGGCTTTTGAAAGCCAATAGAATAGACTCTCTTGAATAGAGTCTAATTCTATTGGCTTTCAAAAGCCAATAGGAATTGTCCAGGCTGTTTCTGCCCTGCTGAGCCCGCCAAAAGTCCCATTCTGCAAACGGTGCTGCACCAGTTGAGTAGTCCTCGACTTACGACTGGTTGGGGGTCGCGGCATTAAAAAGGTTGAGAACCACTGATTTAAAGGCTGCTCATCCCTTGCCAAATCTTGAAAGGCTTGGGAACCTGCTCTTAGGAGACATCTCACTCCAGCTCAACTTGGGCGGGGAAGAGAGTACTTATTATTACTCATGTGCTGAGATTTAGACATGAACATAATACCTAAACATGGCTATTATTAAGACAATACACTTGTAAAGAAGGAATTCCAGAAGATCCTAGTTAAATTCCTTATTATCCAAAGGGTGTAATATTAGTATAACAGTTGAGTTTAGTTGCTGTTTGGAAGAGGAAAGAGATTCCATCCTCATTCATGCACTGAAGTTTGCTGAGTGACTTTGGGGCAACTTGTCTCCGTCAATTATTTCACAAGTGTTGTTTTACGAATGCAATGAAAGAAAATTGTGTGCACCTTATGAACTGCTTACAGTTTACCGGTGATTTCCCATTGCCTTTACATTTGGAGAAAATTTTCCTTATTTTTACATTCTTCGTAGTGGTTCCATGCTTCTGCTATCTTTTAATGACCTCATCTTATGTCACTGCTCTTCCAACTCTATAAACACTGTCTATAGCCAAACTATCTGGCTTCCTTTCCATCTTTCCCCACTTTTCACTCTGTTTAGGCCTCCTTCCCCAAACATGGTTCTATCCTGTCCTTTTCTTTCCAATCCCTCTTCAAAACTCAGTTTTACCAAAAAGATGTTTAGGTATAGGGCAGGGGTAGGCAACCTTGGCTCTTTTATGACTGGTGGACTCCAACTCCCAGAATTCCTGAGCCAGCCATGCTGAGGGGAAAGGGAGAAGTTTCCAAGCTGAGCCATGGCTGGCTCAGGAATTCTGGGAGTTGAAGTCCATGAGTCATAAAAGAGCCAAGGTTGCATACCCCTGGTATAGGGTCTCCTACCTGAGAAAGGGGTTGGACTCAAAGACCTCCAAGGCCTCTTCCAGGTCTATTCCGATTGATTTGTTTTGTTCCTTATAATCCTCATTTCCAGACCTAAGCATATTCAACAGTATGTGCTCATATTCATTTTTTTTTTTTGCCTGCAGCCTTTCTTTTATCAAAATGTTGGTTGTAAGATTCTACAGGGAAGGGAAGTTATTTTTACTCCATTCTTCTCTTGCTTTCTGCTTACCTATTAACATTAATAGCACTTTGGCACTAGGAATAAAGCAATACTTTGCTTTGTCTTTTGTTCATCCTTCTTGTTACTTAATTGTAGTGTGAAATAAGTTCATCTGCAACCAACCCCCCCCCTTTTCTCATCCACCCCCACCTCTGTGCCTTCTGCCAGGTTGGTGACTGTGTTAAAAACAGCCTCCCCCAAGTTTCATTACCAGCCTACTTTATCCACCTGCTCTTTAAGCCTCTTTTTACCCCAACCTCAAAGATAACCTGCCTCCTTTCAGATGTTGTGCACCGCAACTTCTAAACAGTTCTGGTAAGGGATTAGAGGAAATAAAGTCCAAAAATTGGGAGAGTACCAAATATAATCTATTCCTTCCCTAATCTTTTCTTGGTTCTTTATTTGCTGAACCTCTTTCCCTGTCCCTGTTTTATTCATTACACATATCTTGCCGGTGCTTGAACAGGGATAATTTTTATTCTGAATAATGGAAAGTTGGCTGGCCTTAAATCCTATTTAACTATTTAGAGAAGATTGTTATCTATCTATCCATCCATGTATCAAAGTAACATTTCTACTTCAAGACTTAATAGGTAAATTAACCTAGGAAAAGAACATTACTTATCTGCTCATGTTCCTTTGTTCCTCAACATCCTACCTGACCCAGAGTCTCACGTGAACAATAGCACTTGAGAAAGTGAGGTCACCAGACTTCTGGGTCAGGACGGAGATGTTCTTCCTAAGGAAGAGGCAGTTTTAGCCTGCTGAGTTAGGGAATGATTTTCGGAGAAGAGGCGAAGCTTTCATTGTCATATAGGGAAGACAACTGTCAAATTCTGGCATTTCCCAAATTTTGAAATGAATGTGCCTGGGTTAGGACTGCGAGGCGATTTAACAAATCGGTTTTTTTTTCAGAGCAGCTTTCCCTACTGCTTCCATCTAGGCATCTCTGGAAGGGGGGAAACGGAGTATGTTTCTTAGGGCACTTTTCACATTTCCCGGGGACTGTCTCTCCCCCCCCCCTTCCACGTGGTCGAGGTCGACCGACAGTCGAGTGGCGCAGCGGTTACGCATCAGCCCCTCGGTTCTAGTCCGACGCCGGCGCGCCTCCGAGGCCCCACGCAGCCCTGCATCCACTCGCTTCGCGCTCTCGCTCTCCTCCCGAAATGTTTTATTTAACATGCTGTACCGGAAGGAGAAGCCATCTTCCCTCTCCTCAGCCCTGAGCCGCCGTCGCCGCCACCGCTGCCATTCGGGCTGTCGTGCGCCCCAGCCCCCGGATCTCGGGGGCGGTGGGAGGAGGAGAGGCGTGGGGAGTCGGTTGGCAACCCCGGACGGCTGGGGGCGCCCTGGGACTGAAGCCTAGCGCCCGCCGGGACCGGCTGCATAAAGAGCCGAGGGGAAGAGGGCTCCGCATCTCAGACGCTGCCCGGAGCTCCCCTCCCTGCGCGCGCACACACACGCACAACCCGATCCCGGCAGGAGAGGGTGGCAGCGGCCGCCTGGCGGGGCAGGGGAAGACCAGGTCGAGAGCGCAGGGATGCGACTCCTCCAGCCCGGCGGCGCGGCTGCAGTTGGGGCTGCAGCAGGGAGCGGAGCTACCGGTAGCGCTGCAGACAAAAGAACCGCCTGCGCCTGCTGCTGCCCAGCCAGCTCCCGAGGGGAGGAGGAGGAGGAGGAGAGCGGGCCCTGTCGCTGGGGCTGCAGGTCCTGAAGCGGAGGAGCCGCCTCCCCGCCGCTCCGGCGGCCGGCAGAAAGGGAAGCTCGCGAAGGAAAGGCGCAGCCCGCCGTTGCAGCGCGTCTGCTGAGTCCTCCTCCTCGTCGTCCTCCTCCCTCTCCTCTCGCCTCCCTCCCTCCCCGGATCCTCCGCGTAGCCGATTGCAGGCCCTGATCGCCGGAAAGCTCTCCCTTGGCTCGCCTCGCTTTACAATGGCCCGAGGAAATCCGGACGCCGGAGCCCAGCTTAGGGGCCAAGAGGGACTTTTCCAGCTCGCCGAATCCTAGCGGACGGCAAACCGCCCGCCTCGGAAAGAGGGGGAGCGCGGCTTCTGTCCCAGCCTAGCAGTCCTCCCGCAACACCTGGACCTCGCGCCAGGACGACTGCCCAACTCTCTCCCTCCCCCCCCGCCCTCATCGCCCACCCCGGCGGGACCCGGAGTTGTAGAATTCCGACCTCTCGATTAACCCTTCGCTGTCCGCGCCCAAAGCTCTGTCTCTCCGTCATAGCGGGCTGCAATCTCCCCCTCCCCATTTCCTCCTGCCCTTCATCCATCTCTGCCCCCCCCCGACACCTGTAAACGCGCAGCTTGCCTTTTCCCTTCGCGACGAGATGTGGGCTGCGAGTCTCGCTCCTGACGTCCCCCCGTCTTCCACCTGCCGGGCGCTTTCCCGATCTTCTCCGTTCCCGGATGCTAGGCAGGGGCGCAGCTAGACGGCGGCGTCCCGCACCCCACCTCTCCGTGGCTCTCCCCCCTCCCCATCCCGAAAGGTACACGCTGCTGCCGCCGTCGAGAAAGGTAAATGATGTTCAAGTACCGGATCCGCATGTTTTTCAACGAGCTGAAGCTGCTGGTGTTGATGCGGCGGGGCCGCCCGGAGCCCGAACCTGGAGCTGGGGGAAGCCGGGGAGCGCTGGGCGGCAGTGGCTGCGGATGGCCGCCCTTCGCCGATTGCTCGGTCCAGCAGGACGATGAAGCGGAGTATTACGGCGGAGGAGGCGCCGAGACGCGGCCCCGGAGCCTGGCCTTGGAGGAGAAGGACCCTCGCCTTCAGCCTCCGGGGCACCAGCCGGGGCATCAACCCACCGCGGGTGGGGCCGGAGGAGCTTTGGACTCAGTATCGCTCAGCAGCAGCTTGGATAGTGGGATGAGGACCCCGCAGTGCCGGATTTGCTTCCAGGGACCAGAGCAGGTCAGTGGGCTGAAAGAAATGTTTGTGAGGTTGGGGAGGTTGTCCTGGGTTTTGAGGTGTGGCTGAGTCCCAGAGAAAAAGCCCCTTGTGTCTGGGTCAAGTTGGAGTCTGATGACAGGATGCCAGACCAGCTGGGTATTAGGGGAGGATGGGCTGGACCATTGGACAACTTCCTCCCCAATTTTCCCTAGTGTCTGCATCTTATTGGGGGGGACTCCTGTCAGTTCATGGTTTCAAATGTCCTGGGGGGGGGAGGGCCAGAGGGTAGAAACACCAAGGCCAAGATAGTGGCAGGAGTGCCAAACATCAGTGCAGCAAAAGCCATAAAGTTATCAAGATGTCAGTGAAGTTAGCCACTAAAAAAAATGCCGAGATAGAGGGGTTTGGATGCCTCTGTCACCTGGTGTCAAGGTGGAGACCACATCATGTCCTGTAACCTGATTTCCGGGATGCCAAGGATTTGAGATCTGTTTGGGGGACATAAGCGGAATGAGAGCCCCAAAGACATGTTTCCAGGTTTGTTTTATTTTTGTTTCTGGAGAAGCTCACATGTCGCCATGGGATGAAACTAGTGACAGTGCATGCAAAAGTGAGAATAGTTCTTAATCCCTGGGAAACTACAGTGGCTTCCTTCCCTCTTTTCCTGCCAGCCCTTCAATCCCACATGTGGGCTTGCTTGCCATTTATTTCCAAAAAACTCAAAAGCCTTTTTTTGGGGGGGGGGAGGCTGCATTAGATTAGATGCCCTCATTGTGGATATGGGGACAGTCTGGGTATCTACCCAGGTCATTTAATATAAGTAGGGAACCACAGGAGAAGCACGCTATCTCTTGAGATGGCTTTCATTGGCGTTTGAGGAAGTGGAAGCTGCAGGACCCTGGGCTTACCAAAGATGTATTGTGCTACTTAAGGCTCTTGGAAATGCAACATTCCTGAGCTGCCAGGAAGCTGCCATCCCCTGGGACCTGAGAGCAATTGTGGTGCTCCCTGTGAATTCCATTTCCTTGCCTGGCACAGAGCCTTTGCATATGCTGACAGGGTGTCTTTAGGATTCCTCCTCCCCTAGCCAACCGCCTTTAAGAGTGCAGAATGATGGGCTTTATGCTCTAAGACAAAGAAGGAGACTTCTCCTTTGAAGAGAGTGCCTGTGCAGCAACAGCAGTTGTGGATCCCTGCAGGATCCCACAGTGTCCTATGTATGGGAAAGGCTATTCTAAAAAGACTGGGCAGTAAGGAGCTGCTGAAAGGAGTATGGATGGAGAATTTGGGGAGTTCCAGTGGATAAAAAGCAGCAGGAGGCTTAAACGTGAACCTGGCAAAAGGCCTTGGAGTTGTGTGTCAATGGGAAGAAGACCACACCTCCAGGAGTTGTCTGGTTGGCTCAGAGAAATGCCACCTATTGATCCCTGTCACCACCTCTTGCAGCAAAGCTGTGTTTTCCTGCAAGAAGCAGGCTGTTCCAGGCATGCCAGTGACGGTCACCTATGGCTTAGAGCTTTGAAATGCACAGAAAATACAACAGTTTGCAAAAAAAAAAAAAAAAGGTGGACTTGGGTGCCTCTGGCTTCCTTGTCTTAGAGGAGAGACAATGGGAGGATCATTCGAAAGCGTCTCAAGTGTCCCACTTTAGAGAAGTAAGGATCTATGAAATTGATACTGATTGTACCGCGTAGGGAGAGTAAACCGAATACGGGCATTGCTTACCTTTACGACTAATATGTTGGGTTGCTTCAGCCTTCCCTTATGCGGACTCATTTAAACATAGATTGTGTAGATATTAAGAGTGTACATTGGAATTCGTAATTAATCATTTTACTAGGGTCCAGGCAGCCACAGTAATTAATACTAGGTAATTCTCCATCTGTCCGGTTCAGAACAAAAGGCAGAATATGTTGTTACTGTCCCATTTGGCATAGGGGGAGCATTGGTCTGTGAAGTTTGCATTGTTTTGGAAAAGAGGAAACAGCAAGGAGAGTGGCTGATGATCTTTATTTAATATGTCCCAGCCCGATCCCCATCAGATGCATTAAGCAGTTCCCCTAATTCTCAGACAGCGTGGGTTGGAAACTATGAGAGTTGAAATCCAGTACATCACAGGTTATCAGGCTGGCAAAAGTTGTCATATGATAAGATCACCCCGAGTGGGAAGACACAATTTATGTGAAACAGCCCTGAGAAATGCAAAAGCAATAGTAACCGTGCAAATTATATACCCAGTTACAGAATTGGACAGTACTGCATTATTGTTTTTTTTTTCTTGATTAGTTAATCTGAAGTGATCGGATGGGTTAGTCCTGCTGAGTATTACCTGTTCTAACTACTAGTATTTGCTTTTCAAGTTCTTCAGCAAAAAAGAGTTGCTCCTCTAGTCACTTCAACTAGGGATCCCAGGAATTGATTCCTTCCTCCTGCGGAACGTGTGCTTTAGTACTGGGAACGGCCAGGATTTTCAGAAAGGTCAGCCAAAGTGTTAAGAGAGTTGGGTGTACCAGGGAGAAAGTAGTGAAGTCAAGCAGGTGACCATTTGATGATCTACCTGTTCTGCAGGGTGGCAATTCAGCCCGTCTGATGGAGATGAATTCCCCCCCCCCTTTCTAGCTGAGATGAAGAGGTAGAGAGAAGCTGGGTGTCGGTAAGGCATGCAAGGAAAAGCTCTTTTCAGATCATGCCCTGTGCACGCTTGCCTTACGCCAGGATTCAGTCTGAGGAAAGGAGGCTATTATGTAGAAGACAGCATTGATTGTAAGGCTGCTTGCATTCTTTCACATATTGAATGAATGAAAGCTATGGAAAGCTCTATGAAAAGCCAGGCGACTGAGCTGGCATTATTTTAGGGTGTGGCTGATTTTTTTGTTTGAGTGGCTACACATGTTGGCATGAAAAACCACACTGATTTCCTTTTCATAAATTGGAGGGAGTTAAATAAACTAATGTGTCCATGTACTTTTGTGTGCCTGTTGCTCAGATAAAAAGCTTTTGATGAACCCATGCAAACCATGACTGCATTTTGATGTGCTTCAAAGAATGTTGGTAAAACTGTGTTCACACAATGAGACAATGCATGTTCCTTTGCATCTCCCTTTCTGTGCCTTTAGATTTAAGGAATATTTGAGCATTTGCACATCTGTCTTTGGGCTCACGTGGATGTACACTATGCTTATGTAGGATGTTAGAAGTATACAGGATATACAAGTATTATATTGATATTTCCTCCACCCCAAGCTTCTTTATGTGTTGTGTATTGCCTCAAGCTAGCAAATATATGTGTATATGTAACCAGATTCTCGTTTCTAAGTTGTGTGTTTTCCTGAGACCTAATTTGGACTCAGGAGGAGAGGCATAGGTAAACATTTTGCTTTCTGATGAGTATATGTATATATTGTACCTGAGGTTTGTTGCGTGTATCCACATGTAATCTTACTTCCATGGTGGGCCATTCCTATGCATGTAAACTTAATCCTTTCCAAACTAGAGCTCTACAGATGTAGTGACTATAACTCCCATCACGTACCCAACAGGACAAAGCCTAAGATGCTTAGGGGATAGTGAATGCTGCACTTCAGCACAGTTGGATGCCCCCCCACCTTGGAGGATCCTGAGATAGATGACACGAATGAGTTCTCCAACTCTTAATTAATTAACTCTTAATTTGAGTCAGAAGGAGCCCCAGACTTTTTATTCTGCCAAGGTTCAACTGTGCAGCATGCAAAATTATAGTAAGCATTAGGGTAAGCATATTAGACACTGAAGCATATAGGCACCCGCCCACCAAAAATGCTTGCTAATAAAGAGCAGAATCCAGCTGAAGTGGCATTATATGTTGAAAGAAGAGCATCCTTGTGTAGCTTCACTTCATTCCAAGAGGGCTTGGGCAAAGCACCTCCCTGAGGGATTATGTTGCAAAGATCAAATTGATTCAGCTCCTTTTCCCCCCCATTTACATGGCCTAAGTGCCTTGACTCTTGAAAACACTCATGGGTTTAATTGTGCTTCTGTTCTGCACGTTTTTGGAGCACATAAAGTGACTTCTGATGCCTCGTGGTAGGTTTATCTGTCTTGATTCCCTTATGATATTGTTGAGACTTATTCCCAAATATAAGACAGTGCAGGCGACAGACATGACATCCTCCTATTTATAACATGCATACACGCGTCTATCTAGACGTGCACCTGATCAGGGAACCACAACTGGCTACAATCTCACTATTGAGTGCACATTTGATGGCAGACCTGGGTTTGCTTCTGCATAATGTATGAAGTAACCCTCTGCTTAGCAAAAAGGATAAATTAAAGCTTGAAAGTCCTACTAGGAGCAGTAGCGGTGCCTGCAATTGATTCAGGAGAGTTGCCTAATTTTTTTTGGCTTCATGGGAGGTGGTCTGAAAATGGAAGATATTCTTGGAATTATTAAAAAGTCATGTAGAAGTTGAGCACCACTCAAAAAAAAAAACATAGCTTAAAGTTCTTGGGACATTTATAGGCCTATGTAAGATTGCTTTTGGGCCAGAAGTTGGGGGTGGGCCGGGGAATTCAAGTCAAGACCACAGTCCTGGGGTTTTCTTATGGGCTCCTGCCCAAGTAGTAATCAATCCTGCTTACCTGTTTTTTTCAAGATCAAACTAAGTATAAGACCCATTTTGATCTAAAGGAGACTGAATTCTAGTCCCGCCTTAGGCATGGAAGCTGGCTTGGTCAGTCATTCCCTTTCAGCCCGATGCACCTCATCTGATTGTGGTGTAGCATTTGGAACAGTTTAGGGGAGAAACTATTGTAGTTCAGCTCATGCCAATTTCAGCTCCTGGCATGCCTAATTAAAAGGATCAAGCAGCAGATGATGGGAAAAGCTGTCTTCCAGCTGAGATCCTGGAAAAGTTCATTCCCTCAAAGGGAGCAATGCTGGATTAAGCAAACAGATTGTTTCACCATGTTGATAGCAGCGGCTTCTGTCCTGATCAACAGAAAATCCCTGCCACACCCACTTCCTATTGTCCCTCTAAGCT